ATCGCAAACAATATATTTTACTATCACATACAGACCAAATAAATACATACCAATTTCTTCGGCTTCTTCCGCACCAATGGCCGAGGCAACGTGCTCAAAGGTCATTGAAGTGGGGGTACCATCTTCGTGAAGGTCTTGCACCACAAAGTACGCGTCTGAGGGTAATCCCAATTGCCTGGGTTGGGCATCTGGGAGAGTGTAATAAAGTTAAAGATACTTGAGGACATATGACGGGTGTGTGTACGACAATATCATATGTAGATTTAAGGGGAACAAAGATATATTTATCATACTCTCAAGGGATAAACACCCATAATAACTAGAATCAACGGCACATAAACACAGACACAGCTAGACCCAACAGTACCAGAAATACACCCACACACCCCCACACAAACACAGACACACAGACCCACCCACACACACACATATATATACATACATATACATACCCATAATGGTTAGACACAACAGTACATAAACACCGAAGAGCACACACACGCATACATAGACACATACACAGACACAGACACAGAGATATATGTATTTACATATATGATATATACCCAGCATAGCTAGACACAATATTACATAAATACACATATCTACCTACCAATAATAACTAGACAAGGGTTCGGACAGAAGCGGCGGATGATGTTGTGTATGTCGATGTCGTTCTGTCTGATACGAGGTCCTGTGTGATACCAACCAATAACCTGCATACACATGTGAGCAGTCAGCGAAAAGGGTATTCATATAAAGTACGCTCGTAAATGGAAAACGAAGAATATGAATTTTTAGACAAAGTGTCTGTGTGTGAATGTATACATGAAAGAAATTATATATATATATATATATGAATATATACCAAAACACAAACAGACACACTCACACACACACAAACACACACACAAATATATATGTACACATATACAAAATCACAAAAATATAGAACAGGGACATATAAATATACATATATATACACGTATATATGTAAACATATACACAACCATACATATCCGTAAACATATAGAGGCAAAATCACACAAAAATGAACAATATGTATATATATATATATATTCATATGTATGGGGGTAGACTTTGTGTGTGTATGTGAATGTATACATAAACATTATATATATATATATATATACATTCATACAAACATAAATACATACACGCATAAATACATACATACATCGATATATGCATACATACATACATTCTTACATACACATACATACATATATAGATACACACAGATATTAATATATCTATATATATATATACTTACATACATACATTCA